GTGTTAATTATGTGACTAAATTATGCGTTTTTTTCCAATTATCCTCAACATTTCAATAAAATTATGTTTCATCTCATAATATAGAAGGACACTTTCTTTGTCACACGTAAAAGTTAGAATTTCGGGACAATGGGTCATTATTAAACACTCTCGACTTACTTTGATAGTAAATAACTATTTACATTCAAATAGGCTAACAGCTGCTACTGATATTTTTAAAGTTCATTGGTCCGGAATCAAACAAAAACATGCAATTCGATCTGGTATGCAAATATCAAAGCAAAACAAATTATGACACAAAATGCCAAAAAATTCTTTTTTTAATGATTAAAGAATATATTCTTTAAATATGAATATAACAGGAATTTAATTTCAATGTTTTCGGTACTTTTAAATTTTCATTGGATTTTTCTGTGAAACATTAAGCTCTATAGTTAGAATTCACATTGAGTTAATTTAGCAAATTCTTCTTATTAGCAAAAATGGTGTAATTAAAACCCAGTGAATACAGTACATTGACTCAATAATAAGCAGAAAACAAGTAAACGATTTGAATTATATTTTATCAACATTTATTTTTAAATAATACACATCTGTGTTATACAAATAAAGTTTATATACATTTACACAAACTTTTTGAAACAGGTGTCCTATAAAGGACAATACACTGAATTTACTGAAAAAAAGACAACACAATGTAAAGTGTTTGTATTACTTGTTGATCTAATACAGGAAGAAGTATTTTACAACCAGTGAGTGAAAACAAAGAGAGATGTTAATGTGATGGTTTATAACAATGACACTGATTGAAAGAAACTATGTGTCTCTATTGTTCTCCTTTATTGAGATGTGGGTGGGTATAGGAGCAGATGGTACAACTTAGGAACCAATATTGCCCAAGGACGTACTTTATTTTGCATTTCCATTGAAGATTTAACTGTGTTAGACCATACCAGTGGGTAATAAAAACAGAAATATTTGAATAAAATATTCGACTCAAAATAATAAAATAAGTTTATTGTATCTTCAAGGGGGGAAGGGGCGGGGGGGTAGACAAACAAATATTTATTCAGTGTGTAAAACCTCTAGTATGATATTAGCTTGGTTAGAAACACATCTCAACTAGAAGCAAGCATTTAATGTATTCCCGAATCATTACAATGTAAAATACAACCTATTTTGACCATGGACACACCACTAAACCATTTCCATAATTACCTGTGCTATTATTAGATCAAATATTGTACTTCTATTTTTAGTAGGATACAACCAGTCATATTCTGATATTAAAGTAGATGAAATGACTAATAACAGCTGTGCTATTAATCAGATTATTTACTTTAATATAATTTATTTCCAAATTTTACTTCATACATACAGACACAACACATTAAGTATGTAATAAATAATAGTTGGGACAAAAAATTATTTTGATTCTCGCCCTGGAAAATGATGTTTTAATTTTTTTATTTTACTAAAATTATTCTTCAAGATTCAATTTTATTCAACATTTTTTTTAATTAATGCTTTAAAATACTGTAGAATACTTTATTTTCGCTTGGAATTAATCGCTATTTTCGCTGAAGGAATGATTCAGTGAAAATAAAATCCAGCGAATATACCTTTTTTTCTATATTTTACATTAAATTTGTCAAAAATCAGTTAAAATTAATTCCATACAAGGCATCAGAAATGTCTTTTCAGCGAAAATTAATTCCAGCTAAAATAAAGTATTTTACAGTACATGTATTAAAGCTAAATTGAAATTGACAAAACACCCTCTGAAATAGAAAACAAACATTTCCCTATTCTTTTGCACATGGCAAAGTTCACTGATACGCCAAATTGCAATAAATGTGAGGTTTAGGTTATAAACTGACGAGTGACACAACAAGAAGCAAAACCTGTTTTTGCCCTTAATCTGTACACGTGTAGATTTTGTATCACATCACCGAGTGTCACTTCAAGATGGCCGCCTGATATTTGTTATTCACCAGCCCTCGTATATATCCATTTACACCTTATACTTGTTTGGTATTTACATTCAACGCTATAATTCCCTGAAAGGTTGAAGACTACTCATAATTTTGAAGTTCAGGGCGCATGCGCATAAATTACATGACAACGTTTACTCGGTTACAAGAATAAAGTTCGTATAGCTCCGTGGTTACATGAAACAGTATTCTGTTGTGATGCGTTTTGAGAAAACTGTCCAAATATTATTTAAAAATTGTATTTTTTGAACAGTTCCATATCACATAATGTTAAAGCAACATTGCATTTTCTGTCGCTCTTTAAAACCCAGATATTGGAAATAAATTCAGAAAGACAAAAAGTACCAGCCTATAATTTGATATCTCCACATTAGGAACTAATTGTAAAAAGGTTCAAATACTGACCACAATTTTTTTTTGAAAAAACAGGCTGTATGAAATTTATTGAAAGACGAATAATTTCAGAGTATTTTCTTTATGAGTAGGCTTCAACCTGAAACTCTGTTGTAAAAAATGCGACAGTTGTTGCGATGCATCGTCAATATGACAAGAATATACATTGTATGTTCGATACATGAAATCTGACGACATGCACGATGACCGTTGCCCTTTATATGTTACAAAAGTACATCTTCTTAAAGGGCGGCAGTCGTCGTGCTGCGTCCTGTTCAATATGGGACTCATAGCGATGTATACAATGCGTGTAAAATACATTGTTTATTTACATGAAATCCGACAACCACTGCGCTTTGGATGTTGTGTGACTTTTTTAAAGGAAAAACAAAATTTCATATTTTGCACACTGTAATAATTAACCACTATAATTTTGCCGAAGACAAATATTCACGAATTCCTTGCAACATTTTGTTGAAGTAACGTTAATACGGAGAGTAACAGCAACTTTCACAAAATTTTGTGAATGAATGATAAATTACAGACATGTATATGTACATTGTCACTAGAGGGCGCACTACTTACTGAATCATTCATACAAAGACACTACAGACAGAGTAATCACACTATGGCTTACAGTATATGCATTCAGTTGATCTAGGAAAAGATTGTGGAAACACTGTTTACTGTTTTAAACAAGATCAATTTGTATGATACATACTTGAATGGATAGATGGATGGGTGGGTGTGAGTCAATCTTACAAAACTGATTTAACTACTAGTTCTTGCAGGACTGTCTCTGAATACTAATCACATAGTGTAGTACATTATCTTGACATTAATTGTCAGCATACAGATATTGCCTATCTGCCAAGTCTGCTACTTTTAAAGTAAATTTACATATTTTAGAAATAACCCCCTGATTTAATTCACTGATAATTACTCTTGCTCCAGAAATTCAGTGTCAATATCGGCTATCTGATTGCTATGTTCAAAGTTTGATCATGAATATTCATATTGCAATTTAATATGTAAATTTAATGAGAGAAAAGTGAACAAGTCCTGTATTAGTTACATATTATGTATTGCCAAAGATTTATAATACGAGTGTATATAAAGTGGGTGATATGTGATGCAGATTACATGCCAATTAAAGAAGTCACGCAAACTGTGATTTGATCACAAAATTGCAAGAAAAACCTATATTTCACATATTGAGTCTGTGAAAGAACTTGTCTGTCTTCATCTCTGACCTTTTTTGATAGTGTCAGTGTTTATTTGCAAAGTGTGTGATAAATTTTCCATGCATCCTGTGATGTTATCAAACTATATGTTCAAATTACATGCCAAATTGGGATTGTTTACATATGCTCGCAAAGCACAAGAGTTTGCTCATCACACGTCACCATACAGTGTTATATCCTTATCATATAAATCCTTGGTACAACACATAATTACAATTATCCAATGAAAACAAAATGTATACCCGGTACATGTGTGCATATTGTAAAATACTTTATTTTAGCTGGAATTAATTTTTGCTGAAATGACATTATTTATATGAAATTTATGTTCACTGATTTTTGATGAGTTGAATGTACCCGGTAAAATATAGGTAAAAAGGGTATACTCGCTGGATTTTTTTTCACTGAATCATTCCTTCAGTGAGAATAGTGAAAATGATTTCAAAGCGAATATAAAGTATTTTACAGTATTGTAAACAGCGACAGGCTGACAATGGCTGCAGTATATCTAGAAAATTGTATGAGCAATCACGTACTACGTTAAAAGACCTATATTGGTCAGTATGAACATGTGTTCCTTATGTGTATAGCAGAGGATAGCACTATTCAGATATTTCAGGCTACCACCCTTTGTGTTTGATCAACTGTAGTCCATTTCAGGTTATCAACTGATATCCACATGCTTGCAAAACCAATCTCAATTAATGTATTCACTATTCTTTGAATGAAGTCAGCATAGATCTCAGGATAAGAAAACATGCACTGTATTTCTATGAAATGATGAATCTGTGATCCAGAATGTGTTGAAAGATAATAAGGTCAGGGTTCTAGTTTGGCCTGGGTAAGACCCCCCCCCCCCTCTCCGCACTAATCTAATTACTGTAAAATACTTTATTTTAGCTGCGATTAATTTTCGCTGCTGAAAAGACATTTTGTATGGGATTTATTTTCACTGATTGTTGATAAGTTGTATGTAAAATATAGGAAAAAAGGTATATTCGCTGGATTTTATTTTCACTGAATCATTACTTCAACGGAAATAGCGAAAATAAATTCCAAGCAAAAATAAAGTATTTTACAGTATATTTCTAGTCATTTTTTTCACTGAAAATGATGCAGATTTTTAGCAATAGAGGGCACCCTAAACTTCTATTATTAAAATGAAATGAAAATAAAACAGGGTACCGGGTAGTTGCGTAATTTTTTTCACAGAATTCAAATGAATGTTGCATAAAGACCATTGGTGAAATCCAATTCCAGGACCAATTTATAATATAAATCATTATATTCCTGTGTCACTGTTTTGTGAATAAATAAATGTAATTTTAATAAAACTCTGTACTGTATTTGTCCGAAACACCGCCCTCAGTAAAGTTTTGAAGGTTGGGTCGTATTTTTGAGTTTGATAACTAATCACAATGCTGGGTGCATGGTGCCAGCCAAACAAATTTTGAATAGCTTCGGATAGCAAACAGACCACAATATGGAAGTGATATATAAGTGCTGCCGTATCATTGTCAAATGGAGTTTACCCATTCACACAAGTCAAAATTTCACCATCATATTCTTAAATAGTCTAAAATGACTCGTAAATTAGAAAACCGATACTTACAGCAGATTTCTGAAACTTTGATCTGAAGTAAATGAATGAGACTCATTAAATAACTGACATCATTTTTTTTTAAATCAAAAATAACCAACCTGCTGAAAGATACATGGGCGTGGTTTTGGATGGGTGGTGTATCGGACAAATACAATAATGCTACCATTGATTAAAGAAGAATACATTATTTTACTTTGATTACCGATATATCTTGTTCATTTGGAATGCCAGTACATTGGATATCAACACTTTGTTGCACGTCATGATGAAACTTAGACCGTATTAGGTCAGTTTTGTTGCTGCTTCCATACTCAGTTTCCATAGTTACATCTAAATCTTCCAGTACATCATTGTTCAGGTTCTCAACCGTAATCAAAACCTCACTTATACGGTTTGGTGAATGATTTAAGGTCTCTGTGATATCAGTTGAGTGGTCATCATTCAGTTGTCTGAAAAACAAAAAAGATAGAAAAAATGTATACTGTAAAATACTTTATTCTTGCTTGAAATATTCGCTATTTTTGCTAAAAGGAAAGATTCATTGAAAATAAAATCCAGCGAGTATATTTTTTTCCCCAAATTTTACATTCAACTTGTCAAAAACCAGGAAAATAAATCCCATACAACACACAAAAAGTATTTTCAGTGAAAATTAATTTCAGCTAAAATCAAGTATTTCACAGTACAAAAAATGTATCCATTCATCCCTTGGATTATGGGACACAACAATGTTTTTTGTTTCTACTGTAATTTTAATAATGGAGTATGCAGTACGATTTACCGGTATACCAAAGAAAGCCATTAACTTAGATTATAATCATAATATAATAAATATATAAAGTAATATAGAGATCATCATCTGTGTAATGTGTAAGTCAAAAACGTAAAAGAAACATACTCATCAGCCAACATTTTTTACTTGCATGTTTCGCTTTTGATTTTTCCAGACCTGAATTTGAAAGCCTTGAATCTTTACTTTATCTTTTATATTCATATTTCGCTGACACTTCATTAATTAATAACGAAAAAAATGTAAACATGAATGTCCAAAATGTTCCTCAACTGTGAAAGAATTAAATGGAAAGAAAGATGACACTTTATGTCTCAAGTGAGTTTTGCCATTTGTGATGAATGTCATTTTGGGATATCCATAGATGTGGTTTACGTTAAATTAAAAAAAAAAAAAAATGATGATCACTTAGAAACTCAAAATGGTTGTAGAAAATTGACTAATCACAGCAACAGTGACTGTAGACAGACATCACTAGTGCAGATTAATACAATTTTGAAATGATCTGGGTGTCATATGATAAGAACCAGTTTTGCCATAGAGGGCGGTACAAAAAAGCATCCCAATGATGAATCACAACCTGTCATTTGTAAAAGTACATGTAAATCCACAATTATAAATATTTACACAAATTAATTAACACTTTGTAAATTGCAGTGGATGTGAGACACCATCCACTGACCAGATATACAATATAAAATGATGAGATTTTGAATAGGCAAAAAATAAACTACCCAAATTACCCAGCACTTTTTTCTCATATTCTTCAATAATTCTGGAAAAGAATGCTATTTTTAGAGCCAACGTACAAAATTTGAGTCAAGTTTCAGTTTTTACCCAGAAAATTTGGCTATTTCTTTCTCAATCTTCCGAAGGAAAGTGCAGACTATAAACGAGACTATTTTGTGAATTTGTTATGAAAAGAGGGAACTGGTGAGGTTAAGTTAGATTTGTTTGTATGCTTGGAAAAAGAACCTCCAGCACTCTCAGAATGAAATGTGTGAAAAGGTCAGCGCAGGATATCTACTTTTTATATTTTTACATATTTCATGTTTAACCTGGATCTAGGAGTGATGTTTCACATAAGTGCAAAGTGTAATTAATAGCATCCATGGGTAATCAGAAATCCAAAATGAGCATAACATGAAAATCAAGAATGTAAAAAATGTGAAAAACAAAACATGAATTCAAAATGTGGAATGTTTCAGCAAAAAAACAAAAACAATATTTGTCAATTTGTATACCTACTTTAACAACTTTTCTTTCTCTGGTTGTACACACACTCCTGTAATTTCCGGTGTTTCCACGTTAACGCCTGCATCACCACTTCCTCGATTTGTTTTATCCAATTCGTTCAACATCCGCGGCCTTAGGCAGAATTTAGCAACACATACTGATATCGCAATAAGAACCACCAAACCACCAATCAGCAGAGGTATAGTCAATGCCAAATCATGCTTCGTTCCCATGGTTACAAATGCAACTAACAAAAGTGGGGCAGTGAATATCATCATAAACATGAGGCCCATGACTTTGTCGTTCATATTGTACAATTTACTCAGGTTTTTTCTTCTGAATTCATCTTCATTCATGGTTGATGTTTCTTCCGAGGACTGTTTTTTTTTCTTCGCCATACTCAACAAGGAACGTAGATTTCAGCTCACCATGATACTAAAGACATAACAAATTTGGTTTTGTAAATTATTTTATATTATAATTTTTTTCCTTCATCAACAAATTTCTGCAATAGATTATTTTAAGGTATTCATCAAAACAAAGTTTTATGGAGGTGACGTGTAAAGTACTAGTACTCAAATGATAATAGACCATTTTCAGTGCCTTGTGAGATTTCATTTGATTCAATTGACAAATGAGCATCTAACAGTTTGTATTCTACATTCATTTGTTTAGCAATAATAATGATGTGATTTTTGGCCAAGTTATTCACACTTTAACAGGATTTCAACTAAATTTGTAGATAGATCAACTTTAAAACATTTCTCAGCTCAGGAACATATCAACGTCCATAATGGAGAAATTCAACGGCAAACAACCATACTCGCTATGTGCTGTCAGTATTGACAGAAAAATGTCTTTGTTAGATAATTCCAAATGTACTGAACTATCTCCAAACCAAATTCCCCAATTTCATTAGTTTGCAAACTAATTTTTGTGGTAAACTTACGGTAATTTACAGAGTGACTTCATTTAGTAGAATTATGACAGTCCATACAACTTATTGAACATGTAACATGAAATGGCAACATATACATTTTCTGAAAGCTGCAGTGATGCAGAATGGGACTGTGTGCATTACTGAGTCATTGTTTAGCCAATAGCAAGATTAAATTACCGAACAAAGTGCAAACAATTTTGAAAAAAAACAAAAACTTATTTTCAGTCGTATATTTTGGAAGGAATTGAACAGACAAATAGTGTCTCAGCTTTGTCACTCAGCCGATCATAAATCATAGCCTAGTAAAGTGAACGTGTTTATTATTTTGTCATCTTACCTCAAAGACAAATATTGCGAAATATATACCCTATATAGTAGCTCTTCAACTGACCTTTTAATACAAATCAGATAGCATCACTAAACACCCTGCACTAACACAGACTGAACAAATTCTGTTGGGATGTTTCATAAGATAAAGTAATCCTTTGATACATGAAATCTGTTCAGTTATATTATCCTGAACCCGCCTGAAAATATTATACATTGACTTAGATACATATTCAGTCGCCACAACCCCGCAAATGGTTTTCTTCTCCTCTCAATGATGAAAAATTATGTGGTTTTAATTTTTTTAGTCAGAAGAATTCACTTATACCACAACAGAAACAAGCAGCCTATCGGCTGAGATAGCTCCGCTGTTAGCGATGCACATTTCAATTAAAGAACTGAAGACATCATTAGAAAATGAACAATATGTATAGTATCAAAGCAATCGGACAGTTTTTAACAAGAAGTCGAAAATATCACTTTCTACCAAAAATGACAAAAATATTCACCAAAATTAGAGAATTGAAGATATCATCACGAAATGT